AAGATCACAACAGAACATTGAAATTGAACCCATAAAAGTAAAGGACTTTCACATGTAGAATCAAAGAACGTTTTTATTTTAACTAAAAATATTAATTTAAATATACAGTTTAGTTAAAAGTATGCCATATGTTTTCATCTTAAAGCAACTGAAATAGACCTACAACCTTCTATTTTTATGTTTTGTGTAGTCAATGGTGGATTTCACATTGAACCCCAAAACCAACTTTTGTCACCTTTCAGAAATATTATTTGTTTTATTTCTCAAAAAAACATCTTTCGTCTCATGCACCATTATAACAATAACAAACTAAAGGTTGTGAATCTATTCAGTTGCATTAAAATATTTTGTGTAGTTATGTTGATTCTTGATCATGCAGTTTATTTAAATAATTTTGGAATCAAAATAATATCATACTCAATTGAAATGAAAGGCTAGCCACTTCACAACTGTAAAATGGGACAATACACTGTATTTGCTCACATATGCTCACACATATGGCAAGAATGTTTCTAAATGAGTTGTATATTTTAATGATCCAGTAAAAAAGAAAAGCAATATTTTGAGTAAATGCACATATATAATAGCACCAATGCCATATTTGTACTAAGACATTCAAAAACTTGGACTATGAATTATTATGAATTTTACTAGTTGTGTGAAAAATTGCAACCACTATCAATCGCATTGAGTCAGTTGTTAACTGTTAAACAGACGAATTTCTAAACACCTTCTCAAGTGAACAAAACGATAAACCATTTTTAGTGACTTATTTCAAGATAAGAATATTGTCTAATAGTTCACCATCATTAAATCTGTACTATGATATGTAGCATATCATGGCCATGTGATTGTTATGACAAACAAACCACCATAAGCATGAGTGGATTTATTTGCCAAAACCATTAAGTGACCATGATTTAACTAATTTGTATCTCGGCTGTCGAGAATTGAGTTTTACCAATCAAAAGTTTGAATACATGTAGCCTAATTTAAGGAAGTTTTGTCACATATTTGCATTACATATCCCGTGCTATAAACAGGTTACAGCAGGTAAATCTAGAATGTCCATTGGTCAGTTCAACACAGCTATGGTACAAGTTTATAACCTTATCTTTCAAAAGTTACTACTGTTATTAATTATGAAAGAATATGTGTTGATAAAAAAAAACCTCTTTGGTGGATCTTTCTTTAAACAGCCATTAGCTACATATAAAAACGGTTTCTATCGCAATAGTCTTAATAATGAATACTGTAAGACTGAGCATACACATTACAGGCCAACATTTTAAAGTAATTTACAAAGTCCACAATACAAACTGGTACTGTCAATACTAGTACATTCAATAAATAAAATAAAACATTAAAATAGTATGCACTGCAGCTAATGGCCCTTTAGTACATAGTATATTCTCAGTCATTGGTGATTTACATAATGCTAATTTTTTGATTACAGGATTGGTCATCCCTTGAAAATACAATGGTTTATCCCTAAGTGTGAAGGCAGGAGTAGTTGACAATTTCAAGTCTATCTATGTAGAATGAATGTAGACTAACTACCTCTGTAGCCTGGCAACTGACTGTTTATCTCTGTAGACTGACTAGCTCTCTGTACTGACTATCTGTGCACTATCTCTGTAAATTTAATGTAGACTAACTTGATGCAAACTGACTATCTCTGTAAATTTACTATTTTCTGTACCACTGACTAGTTAGATGAGTGGACTATCTGTGTAGACTATGCAGAAAGATACAGTCTACACAGATAGTCAACAGCTAGTGCAGGCTTGCTATCTGTAAACACACTGTAGATGAACTATCAATGGCCATCTACAGAGATTGATTCCTTCTGTAGATTTAAAAGCTCTGTAGATACCATGGTAGATTTGTTAAAAAATTCTGATTGTCACACTGCATTTCTGAAATGAAGTCATTACACCTGACTTATATAATTTACTATTCACAGGGTTAAACCATTACTTTTTTAGGAGGGATGACCATTTCTGCTGTTATACTAATAGTGTTCCACATATATAAGACATGTTTTAAAAAATGTTGTATTTTTTACTCATCTACGCCAAAACAAGATTTGTTTCAAGATTAGGCTTCCCACCCTCCTGAAATGTTAATGGTATATCCCTAAAAATACAATCTATTTTGTTAGTACCATATATTAGACTTATTTTTATGATGTCTAATACAGATAGTGGTTTCAGTTCACATGATCAATATTTTAAAAGTGTTTCCTCAAAAGTTTAAAGGTTGACTATCTTAAATTTATGCACAATTGTCCATTCTTCCATGCCACAAATGTATCATTTCATAAAACTTGACAACTGAATAATTTTATTTAAATTATATTGTACTTTTGAAAAGTATATTTAGCTATATTAGATTGAAGAATATATCACATATATTGCACATGTTTTGTTCACCTATGTCACATGTTTTGTTCACCTGTCACATGTTTTGTTCACCTGTCACATGTTTTGTTCACCTGTCACATGTTTTGTTCACCTATGTCACATGTTTTGTTCACCTATGTCACATGTTTTGTTCACCTATGTCACATGTTTTGTTCACCTATGTCATATGGTATAGTAATTAAACATTTGGAGCATGTAATAAGAAATAACAATATTTTGAAAATTGTAACGATTGCTATTGAATTTTAATATGGATTATAGTCAGATTTTATTGTCTTTTATGAGTACTGTACATTGTTTTGCTCACCTATGTCAGTTAACAGTTAATTGAAATATGCAGAAGTATAGTCAGATTTTTTTTAATTTCCTAACCATCAGAATATGTTTTATATAATAGCTTTCTTTTTTTATTTCATAGTATGTGACAGTGTTTTACTAAAGTTTAATTTTCAGTGTGTCTAACACCCCCTACTAGTTAAATCATACAGTCATGTAGTTTGCCTTGACTGCTGTCAAACAATGACGTATCAGATTTACATAAACACACTACAGTGGCTATACACTATAAAAAATAAAGGAATTATGTTCATTGACAGTATTTTAAGCAGAAATGAAACTTGCATAGTCTTAGTGTATTTTAGTGTTTATACATGTTATGTATTATTTATTATACTAGGTTTAGTGTTCTTTCCAAACTATTTTACTGAGAGGAATTATATGTAGTTTAAAGAAGTTGCGCTTTTCTGCTGAACCATGGACTCACTGAACCAACCACCCAATCCAAACTATGTATAATATATATATGGAGGTTATAAGAAGGCTGGACTAATTCTTTCTGCTGGAGGGGGGGGGCATGATTGATTTATTATAAGACTTATTTTGTTATTTAATAATCAAATGTTATAGTGTGTAGTTCATTCCCTTTTGAGCTGATCATAAAACCGTATAATAGGTACTTTAAAATTTGTTTTTAAATCAACCTCATCTCCACTGAAATAATGGTCCATTCTTGCTTGACTACAACATATCCATATACCATAATAAAAGACAATACTTGAACATTTTTTATTACTAGGTTCTTCACAATGTACACTTTTTTTCGATAAAAGTAGGAAAATCTACTGTAAACCATGATATTTTCACTGGAAAGCTGACATTTTGTACCAATGAGACTGGAATCATTAAAATCACAATTTTGTTAAATTACTATTACCAAATTTTCTCTAAAGAAGTGCATCTTCAAGAGAAGATCAAGATCAAGATCAAGAATTCAAATGGGATACAATAGCAATAAAGATTTACTTACATAAATTTCTGTGCAGTATGAAGGCTTGTGCAGTAGTAATAGTAAAGCTTACATAAAGACAATTAAAATACATCTCATTAAGGATGCACAGTATTTTGGAACTATAAACATATTGGCACTGTTTTGAATCTATTGTAAACCATTTATCATCAAAATGTGCTAACCACCGAATAATTTAAGACAATTTTCAGAAATCTTTGATTGCATGTTTTCAGAATATCACTAAATTTAGTTTTGTCATTTTAAACCAAACCATGACACATCTTTGAATGCAAAAATGTGTCAGGTACCTTACACTAAATAAATCTCACTATTTTTTTATTCAAAAATATAATCAGAATTAATCAACAGAAAATTATTTTAATTTGCTCCAAAATTAACAAAGAAATTATAGAAAATTTGTCATATGATTTATCAAAAGACACATGGAATTCTGAAAACTGCAATTACATGTGTACCATATTTGCCGCATTACAGCATAAATGGAGAAGTGAAAGTTTGATGTAACCATGACAACATGCATGCACCACTATGGAGATGTGTATCTAAAAAAGCAAGTATGATGTAGTTATGTCAATTGTTTTATGCATAAGTCAGTAAACTAGTAAATGATGATTTAATGTAAATTTAATGAATAAATAAATAGAACTATTTTTTTTTTTTGCCTGTGAATAGTAGTTGTGTCAGTTTTTTGGTGAAGACACTTTGCATCTGTGACACACCATGTGCAAGATATGTACACTTACAAGGATTTATAAGTATGCAAGGTTATCTGAGTGAATGTAAGAAGTCTTTAATTGCGAGATCATCAGAAAATGGCACCCACTGCATTCTGTGATGCAATGAGTTCTTTTGATGCAACAGAATGGGATTGTTTTCAAGTGTTCACAAATCATGGGAGTTTGGTTCTTGTTATATTTTAATCGTATACCACATACCTGGTTATGGAAATTGCATCCCTTACCTTTTGATACTAATTACCAGGAAATGGCTGATTGCATGTTAAATTTTGTGGTTTTGGAACAAATATTAACAATATTAATTGACTTTGCCAGCTACTATTCAAAGCAGATACAAATTAATCATGCCAATTAAGGTAGATGGATGTGTACCAATAATGTATATTGTCTTTTACCTATATGATGTCAAATACACACAAATGGAATGACATAAACAAATTTAGAAATGTCCTCGTTAAATTATCTGAAATTACATACAGCAAATATAATTAATAATATTTATTTATTAATCTTTCCATATACAGCACCTCATAAATTATCTGTTATTTTTCTTGCAGTGACATAGGTCAATGCAATTCCATGCTCTTTCCGTGAGTGCGATAGTATCGATGACAAGGCTGGATAGTGAATTCCGGCTCCACTAACAAAGGGAAAAATAGTCATTTCAATGATTTATGCTGCTGTTTTGTTTTGTTTTATTATTGTTGTTGTTGTCGTCAGGACCATAGTCTTCACTGTGAACTCTGGCAGAAACAAAAACAAATTATATTCTTTAGACAGTAGGTGATTTATTATTGGGACACTTTAGTACAAATTGTTTAGTTTTCATATAATAATTCATTTAACATTTTCACCACCAGTTCCTTCTTTTCATCACAAATTGAAAAAATAGTCCCATTTATAGTCTGCAATTTCTTTCAGAAGATTGGGACAAAAATAGACATTTTTTTTAGTAAAAACTGAAAATTTGCTTAAATTGTGTCTTTTGGGTTCAAAATTAGTGATTATTTCCAGAAATATTGAAGAATGTAAGGATTAGTTAAAGATTAATAGAAATTGATTTTTTAAGCAAAATTGGTAAAAAATATACTTGCCTGTTACTTTTCTTGAATTTGCAATAAATTAAGATAATAGCAACAATTACTATGACAGCAGCACCAACAAAACAACCAATGAAAACGGCTAAGCCAGCGTCACCACTAGACATGAGAGTTACTGTTAATAGAAAACAATTATTGATTATAATATCAGACATCAGACTTACATCAGGTAATTAATCACCCAATTCAGTCATTTTACTATAAATATGCTTTAAAACAATAGGGATTATTTAGTAAATGGCTCCAGCCAAGCTCTGGTAAAAATGCGTTTTCTCAAACTTATTATGTCCCACAACATGTTGATAGGGAGAGACTATGTTCTAATTGTATCAATTAAGGGCCACTCCTTTCAATAATGATTATCAAGACAATTACACCAGTGATTAGATGGCAGAACAACCTTTCAATTTGTGTGAAATACACCTTGTTACAACATCATTGATTGGCTAAAAGTCACCTGATCTAAAAACAACCTGAGCCACAGAACCATATTTTAATAGTCATAATATCCTCAGAAACCACACTCACATTTTCAACCATTTTTACCACTGTAGTTGACAACAAATGTCAGAGAACTAAAATAAAGCTAGTGAATAGTAAGAATGGTTATCAATGCATTCCCTGATGTTCTTTGAATTTTTTTTTTCATTTCAAGGTAAAAATAGATTGTTAAAAATGATCAATGCATTTATTTCAAGGAGACTCTTTCACCGGGACAACTATAGTTCTTTTATAGTTTAGGAATGAAAAGTCAGAAATATACCATACTCGAGCGGGCCCATGCCCAGGCAAGCGCCCACCCCCCACTTTTGCACAATTTTTATATTTGGGGTCACATTCAGCAAAGCGCCCACCTATTTAAAATGCAACGAATTTAAAAATTGGTCTTGCATAACGAATCTTGGTTATCGTTTTTATATGATATACAGTGTGGATATCGACCGCTGTGAATATGTTGTAAATGCGTAGACCACATAACTGTGCGTAAACTACGCTTCGACAATGACCTGTTAATACAAGTAAAATGCGGTAAATATTTCACGCCATATTCAGTTTACCTTTCAAAAATGGCTAGTTACTAGTTTTTTAGAAAAAAACCATGTCATTTATTTGCTGAAATCAATTCCAACAGATCGTACTTCGACATCGATAATTCACTTCCGCATTGCATTACTGGAAAGTCTTCGAGAATTTCCGAAGAATTGCCTCGGTACAACACAGCATTCTGATTGGTTAATAACCAACTTGGGTCAAAGGACGCTGCTGCAGGTCAAATCTGCAAATGCATCATGGCGGAAAGTGATTTTCATCGTGAGTTTGCGTACAGTCCAACACCTTCGTCAGTGGAGATAATGATGAGAATTTTGACTTTGACTGTGTTCCAACAGACTAATGTTTTTAATTTTGTAAATTCTGGTGGTACGTAATTAATATTGTAATAAAATGTGCATATTTTTTGTGATCATTTCTGTTTCTTCATTGTAAAAATCAATGACGACGCAACTAATTTCGTAATTTAATTTTCCCTCAAAGAAGTAACGTGTCACATGATGAATCAAAATTTTCATTTGCACTCTTTTTCGAGGGGGGTGCTCGTGTAAGCGCCCACCCCTTAAAAATCATGAGTTTAGGCCCCTGGCCGCTAACGCGGTTGAGTACGATATAATAACTAGTACTAGTTTAATTATTTGGGTTTTCAGCCCTCAAATTACTGAACATGACCCTCATGAATTATGGTCAATGTTTGTCGTCTTAGCTGATCATGGTGAATGACAGACGTCGATACCGATGTCGTCACAAACTCAGTATAGGAGTATCAACATTATAAACAAAATATTGCAGGGACATGGTTGATTTTAAACAATTAAAATTATTATCGAAAGGGAAGAAGACACACCTATAAAATGCTTTGAACCTCGCAAGATTTTTAGTGGTCTGAAGTTTGAAAGGCGAGGAGCTACTGAGCGAGTAAAACTTCTGGGTTTGCAAGGCTGGAAATAACACAGAGATTATGAGGTTGATTGCAACAAGTGCTCACAATAGTGAACGGAAAACAGTAATTGAAAAGCAGAAGCGAGCATGAGTTTGGGCGGAATGGCTATGTAATGTCAGTCATCTGGGTACCCCCCCCCCCACACACACACACACATCGGCCATCTAGGAATTGCTTCAGGGAACCCCACCCCTCCCAATACTGCATATTATGTCAATCATCTAACCATCCAAGCTACGCATTACACAGCATATGATA